GAATTTTAGGTCCCGGACTAGGCCTATTAAGTGAAGCAGTTCAGCAACACAATTAGAGATCACTTGTTAATCAAATTCGTTAATTTTTGGTCTCTAGTTCTTTCAATGTCTTTGCGTGAATTAGCTATAAACTTGATTGTATTGAATACATTCGTTAAATTCTTACTTTCATTGATTTCAATAATCGAGCCCAGGACATCATTGCCTTGCTTTTCGTCGGCTGGTAAGGGAAGACAAATTTTAAAAGGAATTACAACTAATTACCATATGTATTTAACTTCTCCATTTTTCTTGTAATTTGTCTCTTGTGATTTGAGTTAAATGTTTGGAGAGTTTTGACCGGTTTGGGATATTTTTGCACCCTTCTGCAGCAAGCAGAGAAAAAAAACTGGCTTTACCTTCATTGCGTTGAACAACAGGACCACAGTTTACCAGAGTAAAAACCAGTCCACAAACCAACGTTGCAAAAACCTTCAGCATCTTCGGAGGTCAGTGTATTGAGTGATGAAGGTGAAACGAACTCAATGAWATGATCTTTACTGAATGCTTCAGATGACACGGCCCTACCATGGTGTTGTTCAATTACTTGTATTATTTCATCAAAATCTATTCATTRCCCTGAAGAATATAATGAGCAAGTCCAATACGATCTCTGGGTCTTTCGGTAAAACATTTGACGCACTGTGATTGGCTAGTTATTTTCAAATATCTGAGTGACTAATTCATCATTTATGCACATCTTCTATCATCGCCAAAGGGGCATAATCCGCGGCTACTCTTATTTCATATTGATTCGTCCCATGACAAACTCACAAGTACATTTTACAATGCTAAGGGACCTAGGAGATAGAAGCCAGGCAAGGACTGATTGACATTTATCCCCTTGAATATTTCAACATATAGAAATGTACATAGACAACAAATAAAATATGATYGACTGGTCTATTCATGTTATAGACCATGGTAACATCGAGAAAACAGACGCACGATCTCATGGACTAACTCATAGTCAACCTCGTGATCTTTACTAAAGAACTGGTCCAACTGGGAGGTTAAATGGTAAAGAAGCATATATATTGGTTCAGTAAACTGTTTTATTGCTCTTTTTTTGCTTTTACATGTAACTTGACAGAAAAAAGGTGCTTGTAATAAAAAAAGATAAATAAGTATATTTAGTGTTACATTGGTAATTACAGGCAATAGGCAATTACAATAGGCAATAGGCAATTACAAGGAGAAAAGCAATAAAACATAAGGAAAAAAGAATATACATGTACAATTACTTTTAGATTTGTATGTGTCAATTCTTTAAGGATCAAGTCCTTAACCTGCTCAACAGAAGTAATTTAGCGCCGATCGCAGGAGCACTAGAATTCGTGTATTACCGCCATTGCGACATATGCTAATGGTAGATAATAAGAGATGACTATGATTTACCAAACATCATTTAGAAGATATTTGGGAAGCACAATCCATAGAGCTAATGAATGACTCAAACATCGCTAAAAAACGCTAGTTAAGACACTAGCTATCTACATGAGGTACTAATCTATGTTTGAAGTTGATTAAACAGGACTGAGAGATCGAAACCAGACCGTTTTCAGTGCCAATATTCAGGGAGGATACTAGAATAAGATTGTGAAATACGATAAATGAGTCTCAAACAGGAAAATTGAAGAAAAAGCAAAACTAAAAAGCATTTCAAGCGTAGCAATTTATGGAGGGTGGAACTGGATGGACGTGGAGGGTGAAACACAGAAGGCAGAAAAMGAATGACWATAGGACGGCTTTCAGGATGGGCGTAGATTGACAGGATGGACAAAGACTATACTTGGAGGAGGACAATAGAAAACGAAAGGAAACAAGCTTGYCGCAGGTGATGTCCTAGGTTTTGAGACTAGTATGCGTCTTTTGCAGCGTGGAAGAAATAATGCTGATATTTAATCCATCGAAGTTGACCATACCTCCACGTAGTTTAAATGCATGGTGTATATATAATATGGATATGTTGTATTAACACCAGAAGCAATAAACTAAAACTAATTACACACACACAAAAAAAACAGGTACAACAAGTGGTTCAAGCACATTTATTATCAATCCATTCGATGAATTGCCATTAATTTTATGCTRCCTGAAAGAGAACAAAATGAGGAAGACATTTTAGCTGAACTCTTTCTAAAGTATTATATACAACACTGGCATAAGATTATTCTCGTACTTTTGCTTCGAGCCATAATACAATCGATAGACTCTAGGGATATTTATCTTAGATTTACTGCTAGATTGCRGCTTTTGATATGTATTGTGTGTGTGTATTTGTTTGTTAGTTCCTTGTTATGTTGTCGTTACAATCTTTCATAAATTCCAGAGCTGGAGCTATGTACACATAAGTCTGCTGTGTACAGTCTGGAGAAGTAGAACAACAAAACGTATGTTTTGGGAAGTATAGTTCTGCAACAGGGGCGTTAGGTGCATACCTCTGAGTTTTCAAGTACTTCGTAGRCCATAAGAGACTTTTCTCTGCCAACACCGTTAATGCAAGTGTCCGACGAGCCGTCTTTGCCATAACTCACTRCATGATCATCGCCACTCCAACATTCGCCATAAAACTCGATTCCAAAATATTTGTATCTAAAACAAAACATAACTATCACTTAAAAATATCAGAGATCAACGGTACTCTGYTGRTCGGTATCTTCTCTTTCACTTTCAGACGCTTGATTCTTTTCGAAGACACTTTTTGATCAAAAGGTTTAGATAGTTGTTAAATCTCAAGACTTTCGTCACATGTTCAATCTCAGCCTGGTGGTCTTCGATTGTTCCCGGAATGCTTTTGTGTTCAATGAACTCTGGCATTTGAGTTCTTTGACTAAAAAAGATGGGTAGCACTACATGAATCTCCTTCTCTCAAAGAAAGGAAAACGGAGCATCGTCATGRGRAACAAATTATATAGGCGCTTACCCAAGTTCCTTGGTCTTTTTAGCACACTTGTCGATGACAGACGTCTTCAGGTCATTCCAGTCAATTTTACCCCTGTAGTTTACGATAAAGTTTTGGAAAAGGTCTGCCATTGACGTCCATCTTGTCCTTGAAGCATCCCAACTTCTTATAGTTGTCTGTAAAATGCATGCACACTTGACATATCAATACTAATACCATCTTTTTTCATTCTTTTCATTTAATAATCTGTTACCTTTTTTCATATGACATCCATCACCTTTAAACACGATATTGTCCAATGCTATGTCACTTCTAAATTCTTTGCCACGAGTAGCTTCAAACGAAATCTGATAAAACAAGTACATTTTTACATATTTTTCCGTATTGTTCTAAATCTCGAAACCAAATCAGTGATCAGTCATGATACTCATTTGCAGGCATTAATACACTCTTTTGTTCACGAAGAGATATTCGTCACTTGCACTTTCCAGGAATTGTCCATAGACATTGTCTAGTGCAAAGTCTGAAATCATGAGCTGAATAGAGTGATATATTTCTCTGACAAACCATGCATAGACGTCTCACTGGAGTAGAATTGCTAATATGCCCTGAACATGATCCAAACTGACATATTGCAGCGTTCTGCGAAATGCAGTATGCTGTCTACAATCCTACCTTGTAATCATGTTTGCTTGTAAAAGGTGCATGACCTATAATCCACTGTGGTCCTTGGTTACCAGACTTTGAAAATATATTGGACTTTTGTCCAGTTTTTACGTCAATAATATAGACATTCAAAGCTCCCATATGTTCCCCCACGTATATATTATCTTCCCCGTACATACTGTAAGCAAACTGCAGAGTACACTGTCCACCAGGAGCAGAGAACACCTTGCTTTCAAGCTTTGCTACGTCATTTGGCTGCGCTGGGTCTGAAGCTTCAGCGTACATATAGTGACCTGTGACATGTCAGAATTCAGAAATGAATGTAAGCAAACTGAATGCACCGTCCTTTAGGAACAGCTAGGAAAACTATACTTTCAAGCCTTGCTACATTATTGTGTATTGCTGGGGATGACGCTTCAGCGTAAACATAATAACCTAGAACACATTCAAAGATATCAAAGAACGGTATCAAAGAACGTTAAACACGCCTTGCGATCGATTTATTTTGACATCTCATCTGCAATACCATATAAGGTAATTGTATTACGTGGTGAAAATTGAATACATCGGTGTGTCTACTTACCATCTCCTTTTAAAGAAGCGTCTCCTGTCGGTCCAGTTCGACTAGTTGGTGTTGTCCATTGGTGTTTAACAAAATAAAACTCACTATTTTTTATAACTTTCCATGAGCACAAACCAGTTTCGAAATCGCAGTCAACTGGATCTAAACACAATTACATGGGCTTCCTGTGGAAGACCATGTCTAAAAATGCTGCTGGTTTTTCGTTTTGGTGTTATGATTTTTTGGCTTCAAAGTGGTAGCGCCCGCGATTTCGAYAGTCTGCAGTCTTCGTTTCAAAAGCGATCGGCATCGTGGTAAAAACTACGTAGCTTCGACGACCTTGAAGATTAAAAGGAGTTGACAATGAAGGAAATCAAAACTAGAAGCCCACACTAAAAGATTCTCAGCGTGGTTTTCKGAACGGGCCGGTTCACGATCTTAGCAAAGTTATAGTTCACACAAAACCTCAAATCATTCGAATATCAGTACCCACCTAAAACTGACATACAATGCAAACTGACTGTATGAATCCCGAGATGAAGTCAAATGCATCTGAAGTCAACACCGAAACTCAAAACTTGTCAAAGAGATCAATTAATCGTTGTTGG